CCCTCCCCACCCCACCCCACACCGCCGCCCAAATCTCCGACAAAGATACAATCTACTGCTTTGTGTTCACCGTCCTGATTCAAATGTCTCCAAACACAAAACAGAATAAATTCTAAACTGTGTGAGTGTGTGTGACGTTGAATAATAAAATTGACATTTACAAATGACTAACCAAATATAGATGGCAAATGAACCACTTTTTTTTATAAGAAGTGAAATGAAATAATAATGAGGATTTAAAATCACATAGAATTCAGAGGGGAGGAGGAGGTGGGGTGGTGGGGGGCGAGATTTGGGGATACTGCGCGCCAATCCCATTAGAAATAAATGTTTGTGCGTCTGTAAGCAACGGGTAAAAATTTGAAGTGTTAGCACACATGTCGTGCCTAGGCTGCCAAGCTTTAAGTCTGTCAAAATATTTTTTACGCGAAAACGAAGAAGAACCACATTCGATTAAAGTAGCCCCCCATCCCTACATATCTAGGTTCCAACCTTCCGACCAAGAATGATAATACTTTTAAGGGAATGAATGAGGAAAAGGAGTGCAGTAAAACGCCCAAATGAATTAAAAGGACACAACCACCACCTCCACTCGACTAAATCAACCTGTGAATAGGCCCTGAACATTGCGACTATGTGAATTCGTTCGAAAATCTGAAGATCAAATCATAAAAAAGTTCAACTGTCCACATTAAGCAAAGATGCGGACAATCTGATGAATCCATGGTTTAGATGCACAAATATTCCCTGATTACGCTTATTGAACTCAAGTGTTTCTCTTGTGCTTAAATGAAAATCGAATCAATACTTGAGAAAAGTGTTAGTAACTAAAGAGAAACTAAATTACAAATACTATCAGACTTCGCTTATCACTTCATCCCAAAATTCAAAGCTTAGCCATTTGTATCCGCAAAATTTGATATCTTTGATGCGAATTTCATAATTACTGAACAGTTATGCTTGCCCATGATCAGGTACAAGATATCCAATCATTTTTATTCAGAAGGTAATAATGAATATTGAATCTCTTCCTCCTCCCTCCCCCCTTCTTCGCTCTTTACTTGGGAGGTGTTAGGGAAGAGATAAAAACGACCACTCACCCAGTGCTATGAGCAGGACTAAAGAGATAAGCAGTAGGAGAAGCTGTACAAGCTCCTGTAGAAGTCAAGTTATTGCAAATGGAAACTCCGGGTTGGTACAGCTGCTGCGACATGACGTCATGTTGAGCAACCATCCCACCACAACCACCGCCATTCAATGGATGTGTTGGATGCGCGGAAGTCATCGGGGAGGTAATTCCACCGGGAGTCCCCGCGGAAGCAATCTTCTTCAGAGACTGATGCCGTTGCCGTGAATGTTGCATGCGAATGAAGAGGGAGAAGACTAGCAGCACACAGAAGATTGAGAGCAAGATGCTAACAGCGATGACAGCTATGAAGGTCGTGCTTCGACCATTCGCTTGAATTTGCTCCTCGGCGAGATCTTGACGATGGGTCACTGATGAACTTCCTCCAGCACCACCAGTTCCATCTCCATTGAAAGCTAAAGGACAAATGAATGGACCAATTATTTTATCACGAATTTGCAGTTAAATTGGTGGTTATAATGACTTCAAAATCAAGGTAATATTTTAAGATAAAGCTGGTGGGAAGAAAAGTCTACACGAAACAGCTCAAACAATTTGTGCTTACAGGAGATCCCAGTTCATAAAATAGTTGGAAATAATCCACTGCTCCTTACGGTATTAATGATCTGTGTGCAGTGGTAAATTTGCACAGCAGCCAAGACTGAGACTGTATTAGCCAATCACAACTAACAAGCGTGCTGTTGAGTACAACTTGAACGGCCCTAGTACGACTCTTTTCCACTTAAATCTCACTTATTTTTCCCTTCTAAGCATGTTTTTATTCATACCCAGTCCTGAATGATCAATTTAATCAAATCTACCCAAATTGCAATACGTAAAAATTATGTAACCGCAATTTTTATTGACCCCAAAGAAGTCAGACCCCACAACACGCTAAAATCGGGTCATCCATCTCCTCCCCGTTCTCTTGGCACAATTTTATGACTTAACACCTCAGGCCATAAAGTACAACACATACAAGCACATTAACTCATAGCCTAAGAACCTGATGGTAAAACCAGAGACAGAGAGAGAGAACCCTAACCAAGAACAGAAAACTGAGCGCCCGAAATGAGAAAAAAAACGAAAAGCTCTAACTCGGCCAAATCCTCACTCCTCCCCCTCCCTGTGACGCATCGCTTGTGTCCGAGTGCGTTGATTGAAAAAGAGAGGTCGGAGTAGAGTAAACTGGTTTTCGCTAAACAAGCAGACACGACCGGCGTTGATAAGAGAAGGCAGGTGAATGCGTGTGCTAGAGGATACGCAAATATTCCTCACACACACAAGGGCTCAGCTAACACAGAGGGGAAACGAGGACGCGTGTGTCCAAAATTAAGGCTCACATTTTCGAACACAGCGTGTTTGTGAAATGCGCGGACACAAAGACCTATAAATCAGCCCAGACTCTAGCGAATCCAGGCGGCCCTGGGTAGACACACACACACACTCGATGTGTGCTGTGCGTCTCTAATCCTACCCCAAAAATTGTGTTCAGGTTCAAACTGGTCGTTCGCTCATCGTGAATGACGGCCAATTTATTCATTCCCTGGTGGGGTGGGGGAGGAGGGGGGATATTTAAATTCCCCCCTATCAGTAAAAATGTACTGAAGATGAGCGGAATTTTGCTTCAAAAGTGGCATAAGCACAATGTGCCCTCTCCCTCTGCGCTTCTTCTTCTAATGACAAATGTACCGATGTTGACAGCTCCCAAAGGAATGTGGGATGAAGAAAAGAAAGCACGGGAGAGAGAGAGTGGAGAATTTTATGATCGTCCATCTCAACAAAAACGCCTCCAGAGAGACGACAGTACAGGTGGATGAAAAGGGTGACAACTTTATACCCTGCCAATTATTAAATTCGAGAGAGAGAGATGGAGAGGTTGGTGGACTGTAACATTCCAAACATAACTTTCCATTTAGTGAAAAAAATTACAAAAATGCTAGTTATAGAGTGTATGTAAGCGCACATACACAAAAAATAACAACCGCGATTGGACAGAAGTTTTTTCATGCGACTTGTCTGCTTTGATTGAAATAGGGCGTGCAAAAATAATTCGACCTTAATCGGCTGTACCCAGACCAAGAGAAAGGTTGAAATGTTCAAATCTTAATGTTATGCCTATATATATATCGACTTACATCCACGTGGTGCACCCTGGGTAACGTATACTCATAAGGCACCACGTGGTGCACCCTGGGCAACGTGTACTCATACGGCAAGTAAGTCTATCACGTGGTGCACCCTGGGCAACGTATACTCATACGGCAAACAAACTGGTGCACCCTGGGCAACGTATACACGGCAAAAGAGTCCGTGGTGCACCCTGGGCAACGTACACTCACACCTTACCTCCACGTGGTGCACCCTGGGCAACGTATTCTCATTCGGCTACCTCCACGTGGTGCACCCTGGGCAATGTATACTCATACACCTCCACGTGGTGCACCCTGGGCAACGTATACTCACGATAGACTTACCTCCAGGTGGTGCACCCTGGACAACGTATACTCAAACGGCACGTGGTGCACCCTGGGCAACGTATACTCATACGGCTCCACGTGGTGCACCCTGGGCAACGTTTACTCATACGGCTCCACGTGGTGCACCCTGGGCAACGTATACTCATAAGGCATAAATCTATTACCTGACAGTTGACTTCAAACTACCATGACCCCACTGCATGTCCTATTCGACTACTTTCACAGTACTCATGCCACCTTTTTCCACCTTATCTACCTTCGTCTTTGATACAC